CTATCACAGCAGTTACTTCAAACAAAACACACACACACACACACACACACACACACACACACACACACACACACACACACACACACACATTCCAGCGGTAGAAAACAAGCCAGAACATTTGTTTAAGTACTGTATTTTAATATAATTTCAATATATTTAAAGCCTTTAACAGACAAACAAATACATTAAGTGAATATAATGATTCATAATATAAAATACAAACAGCCATATCAAGAAGAACATTCTGTATGACAAGGTTTTTTTTTAGAATGATTTGGTGCTAATACATCTGTAGCCTTAAGACCATTGTGAATACAAAACGTCCTCTTGGGTTACTTTTACATTATGGCATTGTTCATTTTACTCTAAATGATCTGATGGCTATTACTTTGAACACTGATACTTACATGCACACAGGAACACTCTGTCCTTCTATCCATCTATTACTCAATCTGTCTTAATGTCCACACTTTGAGTTCGAGCAAGACGTCTCAATACATATTGGCATTTAATTCAAAACGCTTGATGATTTAATTTCAGCCTTTTGTTGGCACTACAATGATGTCAAATTTGCCACGGCGAGTGTTATGAACATAGATGATCTCAAAATGATAAATTGTGATGTGTGTAGTCCCTGCCATGTTTATTTGTGTAGCACTATCAGGCTAAAATGTACTAATGTAATGTACTGAGCACATACCCAATATCCAATATGTCAAACCTCCACTGAGTAAATGTCATCACCTGAGAGGATGACTATAAATTGCTGGAGCACTTCCTCCGTCCCACGGGAGCAAAAAGGTTTTACTTTGAATGAAACCATCACATTTCTCACCATTTTACCTTTTCAGCCATACCGTCCTTTTAAAGTAATCAGTTAAGGATGAAATGACTTTTCCCCCGAGCTTTTAACTGCATCTTACACTACATTACTTGCAGTACATTATAATTATTTTGTAAAACAATCTTGTTTGTGCTTTCTTTGTTTCCACCCAGCACTTGAATGTCTAATGTAAGTGTTATTGGGTTCATATCTGGAAGCACTTCTCTGTTGCCACTCGTGTGTTTAATGGGACATTCCTCTGAGCAGTGCTAATCATGTGCTTGTGTGAAGTTGTGGAAGAAGTATTGAAAACAAAAAACGAAGTATCAAAAGTCCTACATTAAAAACGTCACTTGTAAAAATGTGTTAATAATGTGTACTTAAAATGTACCAGAAGTATTCATTTTGTAATCACTCAAGGTCATTTCTATCTAAATTAGACATTTGTTTCATTGAAAGTGGAAAGAGATTCATTTATTAGTAAATTCATGATTTTCAAACTAACATTGTTCAAAATATCTTCTGAAATGCACTGTATACTTGCTTTGATATAGTAGTGGTTTTTACATTCCCTTACTTTCAATAACAAATCAAATCTGTACACAGCTTTCGAAGAAATATGTATTCATATGTTATTATTAGAAGTGAGCAGTGAATCACCAGACTTGAGGTTGAAACAGATTTAATTGCTTCCTTTTTTTTTGTCTCCTACTGGGAGATTGCATCAGCATCAGAGGCAACACGACCACGTTGTGAATGTAAAGAAAAAAGAACCGGCATGCGGCTTTCAAGTACTGTAGGAAATTATACAGTTAATACAGTTCAGCGGTTACGTTGGCTGAATAACCAAATAAACAGAGTAAAAGGGGAGACATAATAAGTGATGTTACTGAAGTGTCTGATTTCAGAAGTGCACAGTAACAACAACTCGATATGTTTTAGCTTACGTGTGTTTTGACTTTTTATTGTTTTGTATAAGCTATATTTGCGTTATTGTAATCATGAAGATTTGCACTTAAGCCAATCTGCTCTTAACATGGAGGACAAACCTATAACATATACAAGCTTTAAAGTATATTAAAATGTTTTATACAATATCAAAACATCAGCACTTAGAAATATTGTATTGTCTTTGTACACTATTGCACTAAGTATCTTAACATTGCTTATTAATTTTGTAATTTTCCTCTTTTGGGACACATTGTCTTATCATTTAAATAATTGTATCATAAGACTATCAGCCAGTTTTACTGTGATAGACTCATCTTCATTTAACTGTGTTTTTTTTAATTTAATATTTGTATTTAGTTATAACATATCCTGACTTTAATCTTATTTGTTTTTTCTTTGAGGTTCTTCTTATTAATTAATTTCAGTTTTGAATGGGTTATATTTGTAACCATCACTTCAACCTGTTTTATTCATGTGTTTAAAATGTGCTCTATCCCTCGTGTTCATTTGTCATCATTTCCTTTCCAGACATAACCGTCCCTCTTGTTTTGGGGGGAACTCCTGAACGCCTCATTACATGGTGTACAGTTCCGAGCGCATCAGCTGCGCATTGGAACAACGCCTGCGTCTCGACCAATGAGAGCCTGTTGGGCTGTGACGTAAGTAGGATGTGTCTGCCGCGTCGTAAGGGAGTGGGGAGTGTCAACCTAAAAACCGGTGGCTCCATCAGGAAACCCGGATAACCAGAGAGGCTCAATTTAACTCGGACCAACCTGCCGACTGTATCTGCTCCATCATGCTGTCTGTGTCCAAGTCTTTGTGTGGGTGAGTTCATATTTACTACAATATTACTAATCCTTGAATGCATCACCATCGCTTATTTAACAAAGGGGGGTTACATGTGGAGACTGTGAATACTTCAATGAATCACTAAAAGCTACATTTCTGCCACATCCCTAAAGAAACAGACGGCATATGTACCCACACTTCTTATTTAAAAAAAAGCATGAGAAGCGCGCGGGATGACTCGCTCACGCTCCTGGGAATAATATTTCTATATCTCTTCAATAATTGTATTTGTCTTAGACCAAGCGGAAGAGATTAGTTTCCGCTCCAGAGTTAAATCGTGCTATTATGAAGTAGTAACGCAATAATAGCGCGGAAGTCTTAGCTCATAGACAGGACGGAACAACCCACACTTTGCACATGCGCTCCACCATGACGTCATTTTCAAAAACCCATTACCCCCCATTATTACTCACAGAGAGGTCGCGGTTTGTGCTGCTTTGACTTTTATTTGTGCACCTCAGCGGAATGACCAAGCCACATATTGGCCAGCTGCACAATGACACAGAACTGAGACAGGCTGCCATTGTGATTCCAGTTCCGCTGACTAGAACACATTCAAAATAAGATAAAGACACAAACTGAGAGGTTTCATTAAAATAGCATATGATAAATAAAGCTCAGGAGCCCCACTGGAACAGACTCTTTTGACACTATGCGTTACATTATCGCTTTCCACACTCCATACTGTAAACATTACACACTGTATATTTTGCACATTTCTCCTCTTTAAAAACGTCACAGCTCTTCCACTTTAAATTCTGATATACTGCACATATGTTATTTATATTATTAAATTGTCTTATTGTATTACCTTTTTTATATATTTACATTTCTCCTAAACGTTTTTTCTTATTTGTCCGCTTTATAATACATTTTTCTTTTCATAATAGTTATTTTTTACAACTTAGTGCATCTTATTATGTTTGCAAACAGCGCTCAAAACCCCAGTTCCACAAAAAAGTGAAATCTGCAACAGAGATGCTTAAACTGGGAATCATTTGGTATTTTTGCTTTAAAAATTGTTGCAGTTATTTGTATTGTGTATATAAAAGCTTATAAACAACAACAAATTGCGGTAAAGAATGCCAGAAATGCACTTCACTAATATTCTCTTAACATTTGATAAACTTTCAAGGCACACA